ATGGCAGGGTAGTGGGTGAGAAGGAGGGCAAAGATGTTAGTTTAAATCGCAATCTTAATGTTTTTTTTTTGCAAAACTCATAACCAATCCTTTCATATTATGCTGAGCTAGACGTCATAGCCAATCCTCAGATAGCAGAGAAAGACACTTTTTTTTTCTGATACCATCATCAAAGCAAAAAATCATGACCTTTCAATCCTGAGGCGTATTTCAATCAAAACGATGAAAATTTTACCCAATTGAAAAACGATCTCATAAATACTCGTTGCTCTGGTCGTATCAGTTCAACAATATAGGTATAGAAAACCACAAGGATACATGCAACACTTGTGCCGCACACAAATCGCAATGCCGCGAATATCTCCCAAGATGGTGCAAATCCTCAAAGTATCTTTCATTCTTTGTAACACTTCTAAGAGAAACCGCTTACCCGTACTTACTCCAGCAATAATTCCAACAAAAATTCCACAAAATGAAACTGGTCGACGACCAAAATGATCACCAAGATGACCATATATCAGTGTACCAAATAATACTCCCAGAAATTGTATGGTGGCAGCCTAGAAGCCAATTGTAGAACTTTTGGGTGTTTAACATATCCTTGAGGTCTCACCAAAGTGGCGTCATAGGCCATATTACAGTAGAGCTCAAATTCCTCTACCATGGAGTGAAAGGGAGCGTCTTCTATGGTGATATTGCTACAGTTCATGAGTTGATCGCATTGTTGCTCTTGAGATAAATCGCATTGATTCGTAGTGAAGTTGTGATTGTAATCTGTACATTCGCGTTGTGGTGTGTAATTGTAGAAAATCTGAAAATAGAGTGTCAAATACATGAATTATAAGAGATCATTTTCGGGCAAACTAAATCCTAAACCCTAACAATTTTTTGACGATTTTTCATAGAATTGATTCCTCCTTTTTCTCGCAATCCCGGATTGCACGAAGGTTGCAGCAATTCTCGGTTTTTATAGATAATTTCAGAGAACATCAGCGTTCAAACATTCAGAAGGATTAGCATTTCTCTGGTCTACCTGATATTAAGTTTATTCGAGCGCATCCAGTGTCCCAAAAGCGTACCATTGGTCAAAAAAAACTTATTTCTTGATTTATACTCAAACTACTTCTCTGATGTATTATGGTATAAAGTCTTCACACGTTCAGTGCTGCCATTGAGCGCTTGCTGTTATTTTGATACAAGGTTACGGTATCAAATGGTTATAAACTTCAGACTCAACTTGCTCGAAATGTTATTATACAAGTTTTCAGCTTTGTTAGAATTCTCTTTGGGCCAATGCTTGTTGTGCATCACCGCAGCGTTAAAACCGCATGCAAATTCATACGTAACCCTACCTTAACGGTAAAATTCGTTTATCAATGAAAGTTCATATCAAACCTTTTTAAAGCCTAGAAAAGATGTATGAACATGCTGCGTTTTTGTTTCTTCTGTCAATCCATGCGCTTCAATCAAAACACCTCTCCATTTATAGCAAGTCACTCACCGGTGTCGATGTCAAAGGCAGATATAATCTGAATTTTTTCCTTCTGCCCGACTGAACTTAAGAACAAAAATACATGTTGTTCTGCAGTAGCGAAACACAAGCGTGTATCATTTGCCACCGTAAGGTGATTGGTTAAAGTTGCAGTAACTGCTTAACGATATTGCTAAAGCTACGTACATTATACCAATTTTAAGTAATATAGATATTACAAGCCTATTTATTGGAAACTGTGTTCGTGCTTGCCTTAGAAAAAAGATCATCAGC